AGGGCTCTCAGTTTCAGCAATATCCATGGTCCTGAAGGACCAAGGATGTTGCTGGACCAGAGAGTCCTGGATTTTAGTGGTTCAGCCTGTATTTGGTTTGACTATCTTCTCCATATGTCATGAATTAGTCTTACCGTACTATCCGTCTTTGATATAAAAGTATACTGTGTTGGTATGTTGAAACATAACTGTTACAAAGAGCTATTCCATGGAAAACATGTATAAATCTTGGTCAAATGACTTCTGGACTGTGTTTCAAAGTATTACAAATGCATATAAAAACTAATACAAATTGGAAAACAAAATATCACAATAGACTTCAGTGTGAATTTATTATTAATTATAGAACCAAAAGCATGCTAGGAGCTTTCAATTTAACTACAGAGTTGTGGTGTTCTGATCTAGTTAATTTCTGATCAAAATGTGTTGTAGTTGCAAAAATGGTAATTTTTGTCTTGTACCATGTTATTACATCAGTCTCTTCAGCACTCCAATATTTAGGTATATTAGGATTTTCATTGTAAGCACATATTTATTAAGCATTTATATAACACTTCATTAACCTTCTGCCCTCCACACACCCTTTTCAGGAAACTTGAGGTCAGAACTTTAGTTGGTATAAATCATATTGTAAGAATGAAATAATGTCAATTTACACCTGGTGAGAATCTGATCCCCCTGACATTCAAAGTCCCTATGAAGAAAGGAATTTTCTTTCCACAATCCATTAAAATCAAAATGGCTAAAGCAGGAGTGCTTTGTATAAAAAGAAGCAGGTTTTTTCCTGCAATGGTATTGTCTCAGCTTTTCAGGAGCATAGCTAGGCATCTTTTATCCTCCCTCTTCTCAAAATGTAGGTGGAAATTTCTCATGTAGGACAGCTTCCAAAGCATGTAAGATTTTTAAATAGATGCTCATTCAAGGGCTCTATAGTTTACTACTGACTGGTTTATAATGGCATAGTGTTGTGATAATATGGTTAAATGCTATGACTTAGCACAAAGGAATGAAGCATGTGGTTCATATGGCTAGCTGTAATAACAGATGCTATTAGTCATACACCAATTCAAACACTATAATCACTAACCATAGGCAGATGGCAATAGGTAATCAAAGCATCACATTTCCAGAGGAGCTTTCTTGTGAATTACTATTTACAGGTGCATTATTATTTCCAGATATATTTTTATGAGTGTTGGTTTGTTCTGACATGTAAATATAATCTTCTTAATACTGATATATTTATGGATCCTGTTTGATAGGCTAGTGATACAAATTTGTTTCTAGATCTGTTTATCTGAATCTTACAAACCTGAGTTTGAATCCAATCTGGAGGGGTTGAGTCAAGTCCATTTCTAGTTAATAAGCTTTACTCTAGACTCTGAAATCTTTTTTCCATTGGTTGCATTTTAATTATCTGAAAAAGTTGATCTGATTCAAAATTATCCCATGAGGTTTGATTTGTTGTGCACAAGTACAGCTCACTTAAAATGCATTAGTTTATTTTGTAAGCCCTGTGTATTTACCAGATGGGAAATGACATATATGCTCAAGACTTCGTCATTCCTATATCTCCAGGTCTTTTTATAAAATCCACAAACTTATGTTTACAAGAGACTACAAAATGAAAATATATGCATTTTAGGCAAAACAGTTACATTTTTGCTTGTGTGCATAGCAATCATTTACTAACTCCCAAAATATTTATTTTCTATATTGAGTTTCTTTTTATGGTTGATCCACTCTGTTTCAAAGCTGTTCAATTTATACAGCCAGTAAATTACTTTTCCATAATTGCTGTAATTACAGCCCTCCTCATATGCTCATGCTCATTTCTCAGGATTCTGTTATAGTTAAACATTTTGGTAACATAAACATCATGTTTATTTAGAAGATAACCCAAAGTGTTTCTCTAATTAAAAATATATCAGGGAAACTGTCTGCATTTGAAGTAATGTGATATTATCATGCTTTAAAAGACAGTATAATACACTAGCTACACAGGAAGATGTTACATATATAAATACAGTTACTATTAGTAAAACACTTCTTTAAAAGCCACCCAATATCTCTACTTCTCTTTTCCAGCCTCCAGCTCTTCCACCTACTATAGTTTACTTTTTCCTGATAGAAAGAAATTCACCAATTAAACACAGCTATTAACAGAAAGACTGAATAACAAGTGTTGTTTGCAGAAGCAATCTACTGGGGGGAAAAGAGTAAGAAACCACCATTGTCGATGGCATATAATGTTGAGGACTAAAAACATTAGTGCCATAGTTATGTCAATCTAATTCCTGGCATAGATGCAGCAAGGTCAATGGAAGAATTATTCCACTATCTTAGCTTCCACCTTTCAGAGGGATGGCTTAGCTACATCAAACAGAAAAACACTCTTCCATCAATATAGGAAACACCTACTATGGCACTGTACCGCAGACATAGCCAAACTTCTTTTGGACCTTTATTTGGTGCATGCTACTTACCCATTTTGAGTTGGCTAGACTGTTGTAGAGGCAGAAGGAGAACTCCACCCATGTTCCTGGTGGGGAGTTGAATATACAATCCTTGCTGTCCCCTATAGCCTTTAGCCAAGATATGGGGATCAGTAATGCATCCATGCAAAGGGATTAGCTGGGAGGGGGCTTTCTACCCTATGCAGCTGTAGTATGTTAGGCCATAAATTGTCCATGAGAGACCATCAGTTAAGAAAACTAGATCAAACCCATGGATGGTAATTTTGACCTGAACCCTGAAAAGAATGGGGAGACAAGGCATTATTTTGGGGGGGTGATATAGTGTGTCTTTGGATGCTTTATAAGGTGGTCAACATTTGCTAGTATGAACACTGCAACAGGCCACAGACGATGCAGGTTTAGTAATCAATGAATAAAATTATGAGGACTAAATTAGCTGATACCACTCAAAAGAGATATCTTGGAGTCACTGTGGATAGTTTTCTGAATCCACTCAATGTGCAGTAGCAGTCAAAAAAAAAAGAATCTTGGGAATCATTCAAAAAGGGTGAGAGAATAAGACAGAGAATAACTTTTACCTCTGTATAAATCCATGGTATACCCACGTCTTGAATTCTGTGTGGTCAAGACGTGATCAGGTGACTGATGTGGTCACCTAATCTCAAAAAAAGATATCTTGGTATTGGAAAAAATTCAGGAAAATGGCAACAAAGATAATTAGGGATGTGGAGTGGCTGTGATATGAGGAGAGATTAAAAAGACTGGGACTTTTCAGCTCAGAAAAGAGAAGACTAAGGGGAATATAGTAGAGATCTATTAAATCATGACTGGTGTGGAGACAGTAAATAAGGAAAAAAATTTCATTCATATAACACAAGAACTAGGGGTCATCACATGAAATTAATAGGTAGCAGCTTTAAAACAAACAAAAGGAAATATTTCTTCACACAATGTACAGTCAGCCTGTGGATCTCCTTGCCAGAGGATGTGGTGAAGGCCAGGGCTTTAACAGGGTTCAAAAAGGAGCTAGATAAATTCATGGAAGATATGTCCATCAATGACGACTAGTCAGGATGGGCAGGAATGGTGTCCCTACCCTCTGTTTTCCAGATGGGCAACAGAGGTGGGAATGAGTGACAGAGGAGGGATCACTTGATGATTATCAGTTTTGTTCATTCTCTCTGGGAAAGCTGGGACTGGCCACTGCTGGAAGACAGGATACTGGGTTAGATGGGCCTTTGGCCTGACCTAGTATGGCTGTTCTTAGAGTAAATTAATTTCTAAAATTAAAGTTATATAAGGGCACAGTGGGACAGCTGCTGTAGCAATGGATATAAGGAATAGGAAGAAGGCCAGCTATACAGATAGGGAGTGTGGGAGGAAGAGCGCTCAGGACCAAAGTTAATCAACAAGGCAAATTGCAGATGGAGAATATTATTTGGAATCTGTTGTTTAGGCTGTAAACTCTTGAGCTAAGGACTGTGCCCTCTGTTATGGTTGTAAAGTGCATTTTGGCTGGTGTTGGAATAAAACTATGATGAAAAAATTATCAGCCCTCAGAGCCACTTAATGGCATTGGAAGCTCTCCAGCAGTATATCAGCATCCCACCACTGCACGTCTTGTTGTGCCTTCTTTGTCAAGTCTGGCCATGGTAAATTTGAGTGGATGACATTTCTGGAAAAAGAGGATTGCTCAGAAACTTCTGTTTTGGTCAGACTCATACAAGTTAGTGAATGGTTTTCTCAAGAACTTCTATCTCTGTAATGGAATGTTCCTGAAGATTAATTGCACTGCCTTAATAATTAGGTCTTAATAAGCATTTTACCTTTGATAAAGAGTATTGCTAAAAACTACTGTGCTCCTGTTGTAGTAAGCTAATAAAGTTGAAGTGTCAAGTTTTAAAATGCATTGTAAGTTTAGTACAGCATGATATTATAAAGTAATTAAACATCTCCACTTAAATAAAAAGCCTACCCCGTTTGTAATTTGCTTAAAGAAATGCTGTATAAAGTAAGAGAGGGTATATGCATGACCTACAAGATGCCGAGATAGAGTAGTTTTGTTAACTGTACTTGCGCTCCTGGAATTTGTGGGGTGTGTTTTGATTGGATGCAGAGGGAACACATGGCTCTCAGAGTCAGTATTGTGTGCAATCAGCACATACCACACTTCAGGTGTCCTTGCTGTGTGTGCATGATACTTTAATAATACCGGTAGGAAACAAAAGCTATACGGATGGAAACAGCATCTGGCAACCCTACACATGGACAACAGTAAACAAAATGTCTTGGAGGCCACACATAGAACCCCAATGGACACATGCTGCCCATGAATTCTAGGAGTGGTACTACATAAAGCAGTAACCCTTAGCTATGACAATAGGCTCATATGCCATAGAGGCAGCAACCTTTCAGAGGTGGAGTGCAGAGATTTCACTTATTCACTTCTATGTACAGGTCCAAGTGCCAGTGATACTTTTTAAAGTCAATAATAGTCTTAATAAATTAAGATGCAGATCTTACCTTTTAGTGTGATCTTGGCCTTGCTTTTCCTTGCTGAGTTCTCCAATCTCAGGCTCTCAGGTTGATACTTTAAGCAGCACACAAGCCTCTGAGTAATCAGTCATTAACCAGTATGGACAAAGAACAGTCTTGATATGTGGAAATATCTGTTCATAGGTATGTAGGTCCAAAGGCTGAGAGCAGTAAAAATGTCACTTTCTTTAAGCAGTCAAATTTCACAGACGGGGAATTTCAACAGGCCATGATAGAGATCCCATGATCTGTCTCGGTAGTCTCAAGTGTGCAACGCAGATCCCTAAACTTCAAGGTCCATACGTCTGACCATTGCAATTCAATGAGCTGCATTTCACAATCCTCAACACTAATCCACTGAAACGTTGTTGAATCCATGTCGCTGGCAGCCAAGTTATCTGGTTTGATTAGAAAGGAAAACATCGGTCCAGAACATTAGAAATCTTGAAAAGTGACAGAAAATTCTGATGTGAGTTCTTGCATGTATATTTTAATCTCAGCAATGACAGTGCAATGTTTCAATAGTTCTTTAAGATGTTAGAAATAGCAGTAAATCGAGGTGTCAATGTCCCAAGAAAAAACGGCAAGTTTTGCAACAAATGCCTTCCATGTTTCCAAAAGACCCATAATAGTTTGGGCTGCATACAGAGGTTGAGTTCTTTTAGATGCACAGTGATGTCCATTAGAAAATATTAGTTGCACGAGCCATTTATCATCATTGTGTTCAAAGTAGTTTTGACCTTTTTTGGACAAAAATATCTTGATTCCATCAAGACAGTCCACAAAGTACGTCAGAACCTTCCAACAGCTTAACCAACTAACATTGCTGTGAAGCAGAATGTCCTTGTATTTACTGTCCATATGCTCAAGTAGGACTTTAAATTGCGTATGTGTCATGGCAGATCAAGAAACAAGAAAATTCATGATCTTCACCACTGTAGTCATCACATTATTAAGCTCAGAGTTAGAAATCTTGGTGAATAATACAATGAAAACTTACCGTGGGGTGGCCAATGAAATCCTCAATGATCCTTACTAATCCTTTCTATTTTCCTACCACAGCAGGGGCACCGTCAGTTGTCACAGAATATATTTTTGTGATATTAATTCCTTTTTCCTCAAAATGATTGATAAACATCTTGGCTGTGTCTACACTGGGCCACTTGAAAATCAGCTGCTTTTCTGGAATAAGCTGCGAGCTGTCTACACTGGCCCCTTGAATTTCCGGAAAAGCACTGACGATCTACTGTAAGAAATCAGCTGCTTTTCCGGAAAAACTATGCTGCTCCCGCTCGGGCAAAAGTCCTTTTTCCGGAAAACTGTTCCGGAAAAGGGCCAGTGTAGACAGCACAGTAGTGTTTTCCGCAAAAAAGCCCCGATCGCGAAAATGATGATCGGGGCTTTTTTCCGGAAAAGCACGTCTACATTGGCCACAGACACTTTTCCGGAAAAAGGGCTTTTCTGAAAAAGCATCATGCCAATGTAGACGCTCTTTTTCCAGAAATAATTATAATGAAAACTGTCCCGTTTTAAGCATTTCCGGAAATTCATGCCAGTGTAGACGTAGCGCTTCACTATATCTTCCCCTCTTGTTTTGCCATGCATGGGTTTTAGGCAGTATAGCTCTTCTTGAACGTTTTCTGAGGTATAATATCTCACAAGAACTGCTAACCGTGGTACATTATTTAGGTGGTACACCTATGCTCCTTGCCACTGAACTGGCAGACAAAGGCAAGTCTTCTATTCTGGAGACGATTATGTCTTTATTGGGCAAACCATTAACAAAACATCCAAAAAGCTTCTTTTATGTAATTTCCATCTGTAAATGACCTTCCATATTTTGCAACATAATGTGTGATTTTTTTTTACCTTCTCTCTGTAGCTTGATTTTTAATGACAGAGAAGTTAGTGAAGACACTGCTTTGCCTTTCATACCTCATGATGGCCTGTTTAATTGATTCAGCATTGTCTGCCTCATCCTTGAAGTTTTACTCATGCTTTGTCTGAAAATGTCTTTAGACACTTGATGTGTAGGCAAACAAAGCTCTCATAACATTGAGCACAAACAGCACAATCTTTATGTTGAACAAATCTGTATTCATATGTACAAGAAAGCTGAAATGAGTGAACATCTGACTGCTTTCTTAGGAACTGCCATTAGTTGCTGAGAATCTATTCTTCCTGCTGTCAGGATCTCTGTAAATATTATTTTTAAAGTTACTGTTTTGATGGCTTTTCTTCTTCCCTCCTTCTGGCTTTGGCTGTCTCAGAATAACATGAGGCTAGTGCACATGGGGGAAGCAGGAGACTGTCAAAGAGCAATAATTTTTCTAGTCAGCACTATGTATATGCAAGACAAATAGTTTTTTCAGGATATGGAATGCATATCCAGCCCCCAGCTTCAACCCACAACAGCAGCAACTCACCCACCCATGAGTGCAACACCCCCTCCTCTGGTCCCCAGGCTGCCTAGGGCTTCAACACCTCCCGGCCCTCAACCCGCCCGCTCACGGCTTCAACATGCCATGGCAGCAACTTGCCCAACCGCCATGTGTTATAGGCCTGAATCATCATTCGCCCCACAATGCGGCCTCAGCCCCAGTGGCAACCAGCCCCCAACATGGTACTGGCCACATGTGGCTTCAACATCTTCCCACAGAATCAACACCCTCTCTGGTCCTCAACCGCCTTCCCCTCTCCAATGAAGCCCCAGGCCATCCCTGTCCTCCAGGAGCAGGAGGAAAGTGAATGCTTCTGTGAAGGTGGGTGGGCTTAGATTTTTTGTGTGTCACCATGTAGGCCACACGTTAAAGGAATAGTGGCACAGGCTACCGGCTGCCGGGGGAGGAGGGTCGAGCTCCTGCTTCGCATGCCAAGGAAAACCGGCTTGCGTGCCACTTATGGCATGCATGCAGGCGGTTGCTGACCCGTCTTAGAATGTATGATAAGGAAGCTATTGGGAGCTGTGTCAGAAAAATTTGGTGTATGATGGAATGATTATACTGTTAAGAGGTCAAAATTCTAATATATATTGAAAAACAGATGTGGAATAATCAGTGTTAAAACCAAGAATCATAAAAAGCCCTGATGGGACAAGTGAATTCGTGACATATCACACAAGGTTTGATATGTTTCCAATATGTAGGCAGGCTTTATTAATACCTTAGGACTGGAAAAGAAGCATAATATGGGCAGAAATAGTTCCTGTATTATATAAATGCTAAAATCTTGTGTAGGTGACCTTGTCTATCATAGCAAATTTTTTAGCTCAAGGCAACAAGTGAGCTGGGAATCATTGCTGCCCGAGTGAAATTTAAATACTAAATATGGATAACAGTCTGTTGCAGGAAGGATAATTCTGATTCATGGGAAGTTAAAAATGAATGTGCTTTCCTAAATAATATGGATAAGTAATTAAATATTTTAAAGACAAAACTGTGTAACAAAATAGGTGTTGACCAAAGGAAAGAGAATGATAGTTTCACTAAACATATGTGTATGTGTAACAAATGCAAAGAATTCACTAATTTGTAGGGATTTCTAGGTAATTAAGATAACTTACTTTACATCTTTACATTTTATTTTAGAAGGTTGCTTAAAATTTTTAATGGCTTTGCCGTGATATGGCATGAAGAAAAAATAACAGAGTGCACTGTGCTATGAAAGTTCTGCCCCTTATTTAGAATGATCTGCATAACAAAAAAGTAGAGCATCAATAATGGCTTTATAAAACTCCATATCATTACATATTCCATGCATATGGATAAACTCAGTCACATAATAAAATACACAACTATGAGTCTAACTTAAAAAGGGAACATTAACATTTTCCAAAACACAATGTATAAGACTTAATATAAGTCTATAAACCAACTGTAAACTTAGGAGCAAACAAATAGCTGAGATTGTTCTGGCACTTTCTCTTGGAGTAACTTCTCACCTGCAGTTGTTTCTCATATGTAGTACTCTTTCCATATACTGCTGTAAATAGATTATTTTAAGTGAGTAAAGAATTTCCAATTTTTCAAGACTTCCAGGAGGAAGGTAAAATGGATCTTTGTGAGATCATATATCCTAAAAAGTTTGCCCTAAAATTAGATTTCTAGAAATACTGTTAACTTAAGCATAGGATGAAAGCTTCTTCTGATTTTCTAGCCCTTCCAAAGAGGCAAATACAGGAAGAAGAGCAACCTCCACCCTATCATTAACTTTCAAGGACTGTGATATCTTGTAACAAAATACAGGACTATGTAACACTTTAAAGACTAACAAGATGGTTTCTTAGATGATGAGCTTTCATGGGCCAGACCCACTTCCTCAGATCAAATAGTGGAAGAAAATAGTCACAACCATATATACCAAAGGATACTATTAAAAAAAGGAACACATATGAAAAGGACAAATTTCAGAACAGAAGGGAGATGCGTCTTGTAACAAAATACAGGACTATGTAACACTTTAAAGACTAACAAGATGGTTTCTTAGATGATGAGCTTTCATGGGCCAGACCCACTTCCTCAGATCAAATAGTGGAAGAAAATAGTCACAACCATATATACCAAAGGATACTATTAAAAAAAGGAACACATATGAAAAGGACAAATTTCAGAACAGAAGGGAGATGCGGGGGG